GAAGCTTTTTCTTCTATATTTCTGTAGATGCGTGCATAGAATAAACTGCTGGGTGGTTTGTTTCGATTACTGATCATATTCATTTATTACGTTAACATAAAAAAAAGCACAATTTAATCACCAGTGAAATTATCACTCAATCGAAAAATCTGAAAAAAAAACAACTGGAAAGTACTCGTAACTCCTTATAAGATGTGCGAATTCTTAATTAGAAAATGAACATTCATAGTTGAGCGAAAGTTGTTTTACTTCGCACTCAATTATCACCTCAAACTCATTTTATGAGGAATTCGGGTAGTTCGGGCAGTTCGTGTAGTTCGGCGGGATATAGTTCATATTCCACAGCTTCTGGTGGCAAAACTGGTATAGTTGGCGTACAGTCACACCATGGAAGTGTCACATGCGGTCTGTCAGGTACAAGCAATCCTAATTCATACACTCCCACCGGCACAAGTAATTCTGTTGGTGGCGGTTGTGTATACGGCGGGGAAAGTGGCAAACTTTAAAAGTGTTTCGATCTAAAATATCGATTTTCATGGAAATTTTTTGGTAGTTTCTTTGAAAATAAAACTCATGAGAAAATGTATTTACATTGCAGTTCTTTTTACAATATACAGTAATGCAATTCATACGATATACCTATGTCACTGATTAAGCACAAAGTTTTTCGTCTATAATAGAAAACAGTAGTTAATATAGAATGTGTTGGAGTTTGGTTATGCCGTTCCTAACAAGTCCGGCTTCTATGAACCTATTTCCCAGTTACATATTTTCATGTGTTACATTGGCATTTCTGTAAAGACAATGGCCGTTTTGAGATATTTTTAATGATTCTAGTTTTTCTAACAAAATTAAATTATTTACTCAATTACACTGTGTGAGGGTGTTATTATTCCTTGTTCTCATTGAACAAAGAAAGATAACTTTTACACGAGGAGATGTGGATGGAATGGAGTAGAATACATATGAAGTCGAAATAGATTTGGCTGGAGATTTTTTGCAGACGAGTTGAAAAAAAATCTTTTTTGCAAGTTACTTATTAGCATAAGGACATGACTAATTCGAAAATATCTCTTCTCAGGTCTTTTCCATTATCGAGATAGGCGGCATTATCCGTAAAATAACTACCTTTCCTGCCGGCTGCTTATAATCATACCTTTATGAATAAAATAACCATAAGTAGCTCGAGTACAGTATAGAGACATGTTGCTAGGTGCGAGCTTACTTTTCAGTGGTAGAAATCGTGAAAAAAATCATAGTTGGTAGTTACGGTTACTAATGCATTCACTTTTTAAGAAAACGGAACTGAATACGTGTTACTTATAGAAACTTCTGCATTGCGCACAGGTATCCGGTGCCTATCTTCTGAAATTGTATGGCTGTTCCAACCAAGTGCTGCCTAACGGACACAAACATTATCGGCTTATTATGGAATTTATGCATAAGGGCAGTTTGACGTCCGTGTTGGAAAAGGAACATAACACGCTCAGCTACCGCAAAAAATTAATCATAACCTGTAATGTCGCGTCGA